GTTTATCTTTAGTGTGAACATAATCTTCTAGATGTTTCACTTAATATTGATTGTGGGATTCATCAATTCTCCCCCTCAAGATAATGACACTTCAGGTTCATCTATTTTGAATTAGATCTCAATCTAATATCAATAACATATCCAACTTGGATCATGTCTTATATTTTTGATCTTTAAACTTTTGAGACTTGAGAGATATAATGCATCAATAATTGCATTCCTACTGGCAAATATATCTACTCTTATAGAGCTTTCAATAATCCATATATTACCAGATCGTGTACTCACAATAGTTTATTTCATCTTTAGACAAGAGAAATATCTCTTGTTTATACCATCTTTATTTTCTCACTTCTTGTAAGAATTTGAGTTCTTAAAATAAAATTTTGATCTAAACCTTGATCATATCCATTTCATATTCACATTCATGACCACTTCTTGAGCCAGTTCCTTGGCTAATTTTTTTTTAACATGATTCTTTTCTACCCCACTATCTATATAATGTCACATTCTCTTCAAGGAATGGATCATAACTAATTAGATATAATTCATGACTTTTTATCAATAACTCATTTATCTTTTCAAAATAGTTCTTTAACTTCATTTCATATTGTCTACAAGACAATATTGTTTGTCTAAGGATTAGAGTATGTCTTCTAGCATCTCTAAATTAATGATATTCTCTTCACATAATCTTCAACATAATAAGAATTATTTACATACTTCAAGTCTTATAATCTTAGATGTAAAGACTCATAATGAGCTTTAGGTAATATCACATTATAGTGATCATACTTTTCCTTAGATTTATGTAAAGAACTTAGGGATCTTTTATAATCAAATACAAAATATTCATATAAATAATGGTAAAAAAATAACTATTAAACAACTACATATGTATAAACAAAAGCATATTCAACCAACTAAATCAGTGGTATGTACCATCTCTATTATCACTTCAAGTGACAATTTAATTTTTTTTTTTAAAAAGCTTCAAAGAGAATAAATAATTTTAAAATACTTCTCAAAATATCTTTAATGTTATTGTGTCTGCAGGACAAAAATATTTATGTAATGTTTTCTAGCATATTTGTATCACTGATATTATCTTCATTTGAGACTTCAAGTATGTGGTCTTAGATGCAATCATCTATAATAAATTAGGTCATATCACATTCTGGTGATATGCTTTTTGTTTAGGTTGCTCTATAATCAAATACTTAATTTTAAGCTCATCAAAGATATGATGACAGAAAAATATAATTATATAAGATATGACTTATATATATAATATAAATAAAGATAATATGTCATAAAATAACTCAATTAATAAATCGTCAAAAGAGAATAGATAATAAAATATGTGCAAATTTCGTGGTCATGAAAATAAACAAAGTTTCATACAACAGTGCAAATCTCGTGAGAACATACAAGTGTGATGCAATAATTCTGTGTAAAAATCGGGATATATGTGCAAAACTCGTGTAAAATTCTAATGAATTCAAGATAAAGTGTCAATGCAAAATACAGATAATTATATATGTGCAAACTCCGGGTTAACAATATTGAAAAACCGAAACTAGTGCAGATTTTTTTAAAAAAATCTAGATATGAATAATAATATAATAAAATACATCCGTGCAAAATCCATGTAAAAACGATTCTTTGCAAAAACAATATAAAAATATTTGATTTAATAAATCTGTGCAGAAACAATATGGGAAAATATTCGATTTCAATGAATAAGATTAAGTTTAGCAAATTTCATGCAAATCATGTGTAGAAATAATATAAGCAATATATGATTTTAATGAACAATATTCAGTTTAATATATTTCGTGCAAACTATGCGCAAAAACGAAATAAAATATTTGATATGCAAATTATGTGTAGAAATATGAATAAGGACATGTTTATAAATATCATGTAAAAATATATTAGTATAAACATGTGATTTGAATCTGTACTGGAGAATTTATCATTATATAAAAAAAAATTATATGATTTAAAATCTCTGCAAGAGAATTTATCATAATATCAATCATAAATATAATAAAATAAACATATAAATTGAATCTTTACAGGAGAATTCGTCATAATAAACATATAAGTTGAATCTCTACAAGAGAATTCATCTTAATAAACATATAAGTTGAATCTTTACAAGAGAATTCATCATAATATTGATTATGTAAATCTCTTCAAGAGAATTTATCATAATATTGATCTTGTAAAAAAAAAAAAATTAATAACATAAACATATGATTTGAATCTCTGCAGGAGACTATCATAATATTGATTAATGATCCATTTTTACAAACCATGAGTTGATAATAAACATGATTTGAAGTTGGAATGAATAAATTCTAAGAAGCAGATTTGTATACTTTTTAACTCAGACAGCTAGAGTTTCGTGCTGATAACGTGTTGTAAACAAGAGAAGAGAATGAGAAGAATTGATGTTATGTTATTCCAATGAATAAGTAGTCCTTTATATAGAAATACAAAGAGAGGGTTTTACTTGATAACAAAGTAAAACCTAGCTTATAAATAACTCTGGAACCTTTTAGAATGTAGGCCTTAGAAATTTATAATGGATATCACATAATAGTTCATAACAAATAATAATTAGTATATAGTATGTGGCATGTGCCTGTTGAGATTGTTTCCGCTATTACTAATTGTATTAGCATCCTATTCTACTAAAAGCATGTATTAGTATAGAACGTCTGTGTATTAAAATTGCTTTAAGTATTATTAATCGCACTAGCGTTCTATTCTACTAAAACTATAATTTTAATCGCAATATATTGTTTACATTTTTTAGTTTTAGTTAGAAGGAAAGAGAAAAATTAGGGTTTTTAATTATTGAATTTATTATACAAATATAATGGCTATATTTTAAATATTTTTCCAATATGGTTATTATACTAAAAATCTTTATATTAAAAGCCTAAATATGTAACTGTGGTTCTCTTCTTCGTTGGTTCTTTGTGTGAAGGTCTATTTGTGTTACAAGAAGATGATGTCATCGTTTGGTGGGATGTGGGCAACGACGGTGAATCTAGTTTGTAGACTTTCTGAAGTTTTGAAATTGTGCAGGTTTTAATGCTAGTATCAAGTTGATGTTTTAGTGAATTTTTTCTGTTTAAGTTGGGGTTTGTTTTCGGGGAAATTTCGTTTTCTGCCGGTTTAGATTTCAGAAATATCTAATTTTTTCGCCGGTTTAGATTCCGAGGACATCTCTTTGTTCCGTCAGCTTTGTATTTCAACCTCGTATTTCATCTTGTATTTTACCTTGATGTTTAATTTTAATAAATGATATAAAAAGAAGCCTAAATATGGATATGATATGAGAGTAGGAAAAAAAATGATGACAATTACCATAAAATTACCAATTTTGAATGATATGCTTTTTTCAAATCACATAGATGAAAAGATGTGAACCGTCTCTAATAGCATGACACATTAGTATTTTAAATGAATTTGAAAGTGACAAATGTTCAATAAAAATTTAAACGATTTAAAAATAAATACTATTAAATAAATTATATCAGTTACATATATTCTATGTATCATTAATGCATTTAAAGGATACAAAATATTTTTTTTTTATATATAAGATGGTATCATTGAACTATTAGATCTATATTAAAGAAATTGCATTTGAATCAAAAATAATTAGAAATATAAAAACTTAGTGAAAATTACTTTTTGCAACGTCAAAAATATAAAAAAAAATATTATTAAATAAATTATATCAGTTACATATATTCTATGTATCATTAATGCATTTGAAGGATATGAAATATTATTTTTTCCGAACAGCGTGATCACGCAGGTTTTGTAGCCGTTTAACAATCAATCAATATTAACAAATCTTTTAACACTTATAATTAATTAAAATTTTATTTTCCAATAATACCCATTAAAGAAAATGGAAAGATCAGAGATGACGGTTACAAAAAGTGTATTTAAGTATATGTATTGACGAATACGTAATTAATTTTAATAATTTTTCTAAACAATATTAACAACACTTGTCAAACACAGAATCAAACACCGATTGACTTGTGTTTTCTTTAAAAGGATTACTTATCACAAAACCTTTTATCTTCTGTCATTTATCATTTCGCCAGTAAATCAAAATGAGGAGAGGAAATCTTATCTTGTAAGCTCTCTTTCTCTCTAAGTAATCTCCGATTAAAAACGATATCAAAGGTTTCAACGAAGCTATTGCTAGACTGTTATCTTGCAGTCACATAACTTCACTTAATATTTACAGGATTTGAGGATTTAGTTAGATTTTTCTTTTCTTTTTTTTTTCTCTAAAAATTGGTTGAATCTGAATACAATTATCAAACATGTTTTACAATTTCTGCAAAACTACCGGATCTGGTAATCAGAAAATTTAGGGATTTTATGACCTGTACACGATGTTTTAGAAATAGATATCTTTTGTGGTTTTTACGATAAAGATTTCATACTAGATGTAGATCGATGCTAATATGTTTTACTAATATGATGCATGTCAAGCGGAGTTTGTGACCCATAATGAATTCTGTAAAAATTATAACTTCCACCTGGAAACAATTAGGGTTTTCAACATGATTTTCTGTGGATTTTTTTTCTTCCGAAAAACTATCATATTAGATGTTGATGCTAGTATGATTCTTGTTTCTTTTGTTAAATACTGTTTATATATCTTAATAACAATTTCAGATCCTAGTTAGTTTCACAATTCGGAAATAGAACCGGGATGAAGGGAAATCAGAATATTTGGGTTTTTAATTTGCTTTTGATTTGTTGGTCTGATGCATGTTAATAGAGTTTGGTGGCTGATGCGTTTGTATATAATTTGCTTTTGTATCTTTGAAACACATATTATGTTTAGTGTAGAACTAATAGAGTTTGGTGGTTAATGCTTAGCTTAAAAACCATTAGGGTTTTGTAGAAACTAGTATGATTTATTGTTCTGATGCATCCCAAGCGACTCTTAAATGACAACTTTCGATCAGTTTGAGACATTTCTTTTAATCTAATTGACGTTTCATGTCTTGTGGCTCTAAAATGCAAACCCATGAGTTAATTTCTTTACTTAACTTTGTCGATCCAAATCTATCTATAGGCTGAACAAAGATGTCAACAACAATGAGCTGGAGAGCAGCAAGTTTCTCACATTTGCTGACGTTCCATCAGGCCTCTTGGAAGCAATAATGTCTTATCTTTCGTACAAAGATAGCATTCGTGCATCCGCTGTCTGCAAGGCATGGCGTAAAGCTGCTGTAGCTGTTCGGGTCGCTGAAAAGTATCCATGGGTTGTCTCATTTCCTAAACGTGGAGACTCCGTTTATCTGTTCGATCCATTGGAGAGGAAGATGTACACACTGAATCTGCCCGAGATAGCTGGAACCAATGTTTGTTGCTCCAAAGACGGATGGTTGCTTATGCGCCGATCAAGCTTTGTGGACTTGTTCTTCTTCAACCCGTATACACGGGAGCTCATAAGCTTGCCAAAGTGTGAGCTGTCGTTTCAGGCTATTGCTTTCTCCTCTGCCCCTACGTCAGGTACTTGTGTGGTGGTTGCGTTAAGACCTGTTAGGAGAGATGCCATTGCTATCAGCATTTGGAATCTTGGAGCATGTGAGTGGGTTGCTAAGGAGTTCACTTGCTCTCTTGGGTTTGACCCCTACATGCATAGCAACCTTCTCTATGCCAATGATCACTTCTATTGCTTTGACTTGGGAGGTGTTTTACTTAGCTTTGATCCGGCTTCTAGCACAGTGAATTGTGAATCATGGGATGAACATAGATGCCCTTATCTTCATAATGATGAATGGTTGGGTCTGCCCAAGAGAATCTACTTGGTGGAGCAGAGAGGAGAGCTCTTTCTCATGTATACGTGCGGCAATGAGAGGCCAATGGTGTATAAATTAGTCTCTTCGAAATGGGAGGAGATCTCTAGTGCTGCTGCTCTCAACGGCTTGACAATCTTTGCGAGTCTCTACTCCTCAGAGACTAGAGTGGATGTCCCAGTGATGAGGAACCGTGTGTACTTCCCACGGTACGGTTTACATAACAACCAGTGTGTATCCTACTCCTTTGATCAAGGCAGGTTCTATCCGCGTAAGCCGCTCTTAAAACCAATAAATTTATGGGGAATGCAGCCAGAATTATGTCCTCTTCAGAGTATTTGGATCGAGCCACCGTCAAAGACGTTCTTAGACGGTCTTATGTGAAAAGGCTAAGTGACAGTGAAGGCAAAAAAGGTAACTTACTTTTCGCTTTGGGGTTCATGTATTTTACTTTTGCTATGTATTGGTTCTTGCATGTATGAAACTTGCTGTTAATTTCGCTTTGGGGTTCATGTATTTTACTTTTGCTATGTATTGGTTCTTGCATGTATGAAACTTACTGTTTCAAACTATGAGACCCATCGTCCTATATATTAATCAAAAAGTAAGGTTACATTACAAGCGATGTGTCTACACGTTTGGTTTCTCCGCATAAAGAATTTTGTGTTCATCATTTAATCAACTTGTATTCTACATCAGATCCAATGAAAATTCAGATGAAAAAAAAAGATCTAACACATTTTGTTTCCAGGATCTAACACATTTTTAACTTTTACTTTTTCTTAAATTATGATAGGTCATGAAAGACTAAGATTTTTGCAAAAAGGATATATCCTAAATAATACAAGTGTTTTTTTAGAAACATATCAGTTTTATCAATTTTTTTAATCTTTAAGAAGCAGCTGACACCTAATCAAAATCAAACGACCAATTAGAATAAAACAATAATACATATCATATTTATAATATGTTAATTTTTTTCTAAATCCATTAAAAAGCCTAAATAATAAGAATAATAACTAATATAGTTTGTATGCCAACAATGTAATATTTTATTTATTTATCACTGATAAATTTTAATTAAATTTAATAAAATCTAAATAGTAGTACATTAAATTATTAGTATAATAAAATTTAAAAAGTAAACTCATATGATATTTTTTTTATTTTATTAAAAAAATTAAAGTGACGTTTGTGTGTGCTAACAGTGATTTGGTGCCCGACCACAATGGTTTGAACTTTGAACCCAATTCTTCAATATGATTTTAAATAAAATTTATTAATATGAGTTTAATGTGTAAAATTGGTAGGTTCACGTAAATATTGCTTTTCTTTACATTTCAAAATGTATAATTAGTATAACAAATCAGGAAGAGAAGATGAAAGTGTATGTGATTGAACAATTATTAATGGTTCTATCAATTAAAACACCATAACTATTTTACTTATAATTTTTTGTGTATATTCGTTATTCTGAATTTACACTTTACAGATGATTTTAAAAACTCTAGACAAATTTATTCTTGATTATTTTTTAAATTTTGTTGTATAGTAGTATTAGAAGTTCAAACATAATTAGTTTTTGTGAAAAAAAGCAATGGTAAATGAGGTGATAAGAGAAACTTGGTACTAAACATTGCAATATTAGCTATTTATGGGCTTTATGTCGAAGAGCAAAAAAAACATCAGAGGCACTTAAAAAGAAAAAGAAAATTTTCTTCAAGATTTTACTTTTTTTGTCTAAATCGTAGCTATCTTTGAAATACCTCAATTGCATTTTCTCCAATCATTGTTATCACCACTCACTCTTTACCTACAAACAATTAGACCAGAGAGATTGTAGAGAATGTGAACATACCACTAGATGGGTTTCAATTAATGTTGAAGAAACTCACGGAGAAACAAAGTAGGACTACTCAAGAAAGAAAAAGAAAAAAAGTTTAAAGGAATCAAATATACTACAGCTAGAGAAAGCTATGGTGGTGACTAAAGAAGAAGCCAAACATACCACGGTTAGAGAAAGCCAAGGTGATAGTTTGAGTCGAACATACCAAGGTTAATGTCGAGGTGATGGTTCTAAGGAAAACAAAGTGAAATTGGCAGGTGATTAAAGGTAAACACCAAGCAAGGCACAATACGGAATCAGTTACCCAGATAACCAATTTAAACAAAATCTTCTACTTAGTTCCAATAGCAATAATAATAGTCTTCATGTGAATATTATAGATTATAGTTTGATTGTTTTAAAAGCATATATTTATAATAAACGTTTGGTAAATAAATAGACTATAATTCAAAATAATAATATTAATTAATATTAATTTAATTAAAGTGGTATTTTGTTTTGTGTAGTTACAAGGGATGTTCAAGTGATAACTTCATAAAGAAAGTTGATTATAATTGTCATTAGTATGAAGGTCCTTATCTCACAAATAAATGAATTAAAAATCCCTAAAAATTGTCTCACTCTCCAAATGCGTTATATCAAGAAATGATTTGTTAGCCAAATTTAAAAATATCATTTTTCATATCTTATTATCGTTTTTGCTATATGTGCCCATTGATAGAAGAAAATTACCACCGTTTCATTTAAGATAATTTAAATTCATGATAAAAACAAAAACTGCCACGCTTAGTTTAAATTTTATGAGATATCTGTTGGAATCACGTGAAGCACGTGAGGCATCACGGGGGCATGTGCCTCCTACCGATTTTTTGTTTTTCCTTTAATAATTTAAGTAATTTGATTAAATCTTATTATTTAAATGGACAAAAACTTATGGTGCCCCCGGTTAAAAATAGTTCTACATCCGCCACTATACATAACAAGACATTAAACTGACTGTTTTGCATTATTTTTATACCTATAAAACATAAGTCAATTGGCAATTGTAGGTATAACACGTATTTTTTTATTTTAAAATAAAATTACTTTTCGTTTTTATATTTTTAGTTAAAAACAATTTTTTTTAAAAAAAATTCAATTAATCTCATCATCTTTCACCAACCGTTCTTCTTCCCACACTTCCATAATCATCCACAATCTTTTGAAAAACTACATTTTATTATTTGTGCGCTATTCTATTGTGTTCTCACACACATGGACAGTTTCCCTTCAAAGTATTTAAAGTTTGCCTTTTGATTTGATGAAACGGATTGTATTTTGCAGAATGATGAAATAGATGATATATATGGAGGTTTTTCTTCTTCTATCCTTATTTTAATAAACTAAATTAAAATAAGACTAAAGAAACGATTGCACATTTGTTTCAGGCCTTCTCACACACATGTGTTTTTTTGGTTGTCAACATTCTATCTCTTCAGCTACTCTTACGCCTAACAAATACTAATGCATTAAAGCAGTTTTCAAAAATGTGTGGGTATGGGTGTGGTAACTGAAAAGACGACAAATAACCGAACACTCTATCGAGAAGAAGTACTTTGTATAACAAAAATTGAAGAAAAACAATAGCAATCAACCAGAGAATAAATTACATGTGTAGGTATTGTATTCTATTATTTGATCTCCTTAATTTTGATTTTTAGTTTTTTTTTACTTGGATTGGTATTATGGATTTAGCTTCCTCGGTTAGAAGTGTTTATGTATAAATATACTTTGCAACAAATGTGTATGTAATTAGTATAATGTAATCAGCGCCGTCATGAAAAGAGCAACAAAGAAGACGATTTGCAGATCCCTATATTCTGATCACACAAAACGATGGTTTCCGATCTCCTTTACCCTTTCACAAGCAAGTTAAGTGTTTCTATCTCTCTCAACGTGTGTGGCGGAATTAGGTGGGTTTCTTTCGGCTAGATCTATTTTCGTTTGGTGTTGGCTGCGGGTTTATGAACGGCGTTGAAGATCTCTGGCTATTTTTATAGGATCTCTAGCATTTGCTACGTGAAGGATATATATTTTGGTTGGTGCGAAATCATTCTCTAGTCTTGTTACTACGATCTCGACAGGCTTCGTGGGAGTGATGAAAAAGTTGGCTTGCTTGTTATCGGTTCATACATCATCTGATTTTCCGGGTTTATCCTGTGATTGGTTTTTTGAAGATTTCTTCAAAAAAGAGTTGTTAATCACGTAACGGGTAAAGAGAAGGTTTCATCATAGCAATCATGTCACACGGAGGCTCCAAAGGCGATGTAAAAGGTGATTTTCAGATCTAGGGTTCTCACCGACTTTTGATCACCGGCCATTGCAAGTTGATTCTCCTCTGAGGTTTTCATTAAGCCGGAGCAATCCCGGAGAAACAATTCCCTTAGCCTTAGTTGTAAGCTAAGTTTCTTATATGAGGCCGGAAATTTTATTAGCAAGAGGTCGGCATGAATAACCTGATCCTTAAGCTCTAACGCTCTAATTAAATTTAATTCAAAGACTCTGAAATGATTCTAGCTTTGTGCTATGATTGTGTTTGATTTTTTTGTAATCCCCTATAATAGGGTGTATCGGAGATGTTTCGTGTATGGGAGATTTTTCAAGTATTGGTTATGGTCTGAGTAATCACTATTGCCGGAAAATATTTCTAAAGGTTCACGTTTGTAGCAGTTTTCTAAGGTTGTATTACGGTACTGAGCCTGTTTTTGTCTACTGATTCAGTGTTCACTTTGAATTTTAGGTTGTGATCGTGGGTTTGTGCTAAGTGGTCGTTAAACAAGCTGGAGAAAAGGAAGGAGATTTGGTTGGTGAGGTTGTCTCTACCACATAATTCAGTTCTTAGGAATGTTTTTGGTGGTATTCAATCATTCAATCTAGCCTTGGTGCTATGTATTAGTGCTGACTTTTCTGCTAAAAGAAGATGAATATGATTTCATGAAATTGTCAGGATGCAGGAGCGTAACTGACTAAACAACACCTTCGAGAGCTGCACCTATGTTTCTCCCCTTCGTTTTTGTTTCTTTCTAAACAAAAAACTCATATGCCATTATGCAAGAAGTGCAAGTTTCTTATAGATATAATAAAAAGTTCACCGTAGAACCGGAAGGTACAAGTGGTGGACTTGCTTTTTTTTATATGGATTCTCTTGATGTCAAGATTTTATTTTCGAATAATCGCCTGATAGACGTGGAAGCTGTGATAGAAGGACATCCAGTCTTTCTGACTTTTGTCTATGGTGATCCGGTCTTTGAGTGCCGCGCATTAGTCTGGGAACGGATTACACGGATTAGTACCACGAGAACGAGCCCATGGTTCATGAATGGGGACTTTAATGAGATTACAGGCCATCACGAGAAAAGAGGAGGGTGGAAACGCCCAGATGCATCCTTCATACCCTTCAATACTATGCTAGAAGACATCAGGATGGTGGAATTCCCGACAAAAGGTAACTCTTTTTCCTGTGTCGGAAATAGAAGGAGTGGTAGAGTCCGATGCAAGCTTGATAGAGCAATAGGAAATGAAGATTGGCATCATATTTTTTCCCACACTTCTGTGGAGTATCTGAATCATCGGCCAGTTTTGGCTCGTATTCAATCGCGAAAGAGCAGGGTTAAGAGGAACTTTAAATTTGATAAGAGATGGCTAGGAAAAGAAGGCTTATTAGAAACGATCATCGAGGGTTGGGGAACCTCTGACGTCTCTACAACTCCGGACCTGTATGCTAACATCCGAAATG